TTTCTCCTCAGCGAGGCCGATCGGCTGGTGGAGCTGCTGACCACCGAGATTCTGCACCCCGACAGCCAGGCCCCCAACGGAGTGAAGAGCCACTTCATCGAGGTCTTTCTGGCTGACCTGGCCTAAGAGGGGGCTGCCGAGGTGGGAGCCCTGGGGGCTCCGGGTCCAGGGGGGGGGGGGGGCCCGCGCCGGGATTCGTGGGTGAGGCTGTGGCTGTTCCTGCTTCTCTGCAGCTGACCGCAGACCAGAACCTCAGGCTCATCGCGCCCTTCTGCAGGATCGCGGCCCGCACCAGGGAGTGAGTGCGGGCCTGCCCTGCCGTCCCTGCCTGCCGGGGCCTGGGGCGCGGCGCTCGCTCGCCCGCTCGCCGCGGGCGGGGCTGCCCAGGCGTGCCCGCCCCGGGCTCATCCCTGTCCCCACAGGTGGCGCTCGGCTTCGCAGAGGGCAGCTGCGACCCCTCGGAGCAGTAAGTCGTGGGGAGGGAGCTTGGGGCCCGGCCCCGCCCCGGGGAGGTGCGGGCGGAGCTTCGGCCCGCCCCCGCCGGCCTGCCCCAGTGCCGCCTCCCCGCAGGTGCCCGGCCCAGGCCCGCTGGAGCAGCCTGTGGCACGTGGGGTAAGTGGAGGCCACCGCTCCAGCCGGGTCCGACAGCTCTTGCCCCCTCACCCCCACCAGGCCCCCCACTCCATGCTGGCCCCAGGTCTGCCCTCGGGCCTCCTGGAAGGGCAGGTGCTGGGCCCTCAGCAGGCCCACCCAGCCCTGGGCCAGCACCAGAGGGCCCTCCAAGTGGCCCCTGCAGCCCAGCTCTGGCAGGGCTGCCCTCTGGCCTGCTTGTCCACCTCCCACCCTCCTTCCTTGCCCGGTGCCCGCCTGTGAGCACGACACTGGTCTGGCCAGGATTGTGCATTCAACCCGGGACAGTGTGTCCTGGGAGTGAGCCCAAGGCCACTTGCGGCCAGCCCTGGAGGGACAGCAGCAGGCGGCCAGGGCGGGCTGGTCCTCAGGTCCAGCTCAGGCCAGGAAGGTGGCCTCGGTCTGGAGACACGTCCTCTGACCTTCTCTCCTGTCCCTTGTCCTTTCTTGAGCGGCTGGGCTGTGACTGCCCAGAGGGACAGGCGCCCATGGCCCGGGGCAGTCCAGTGGTGGGTCTCGCTCCTTCCGCCCAGGCTTGTCCTTCTTGCTGTTGTCCTGCTGCTGCTGTGTGGGGTCACAGCCAGCTGTGTCCGGTTCTGCTGCCTCCGGAAACGGGTGCACGCCCAGGCCCACCTGTCCCCAGCACTTCGTCCCTGCGACCTGACGGCCATCCCCATGGACAGCGACAGCCCCGTGCACAGCACTGTGACTTGTGAGTGCGGCAGGCCACCTGCAGGGGAAACGGGGCGAGAAGGCCAGGCTCCCACAAACCCATTCTGGTCCCCTGCAGCCTACAGCTCTATCCAGGACCCACTGGGCTTGAGGATGCCCCTGCCCTCTGGGGAGCTGGACCTGGACTCCATGACCCCACCTGCCTACAGTCTATACGCCCTGGAGCTGCCTCCCTCTTACGACGAGGCCATCAGGATGGCCAAGCCCAGACAGCAAGCGCTGACCCCCTCCCACTAGCCCAGAAGCCCCCTCCCTGGGCCCCGGGGTCCCTCAGAGGGGTTCAGGGAAACTCTTCAGGCCTCCCAATACTGCCAGCACCCCCCTCTGTGCCCAGAGGGGCCAGTGCAGGGACACTTGGAGCCAGGGCCCAGGGAAAGCCGGCCGCCCGGCCCGTTGCCGCAGCTCTCGCCTCCTTGCTGTGTGACGGCCCGTCCAGCGCCAGCAGGCCCGGGCCCAGAGGAGGCCGCAGGCTGAGCCTCGGGCCTGGGCCTACTGAGCGCCTGGCACTTTGGAGAATAAAGGTCGAGTCTAAGTGGTGTCCGCTGTGGGCGGGGCGCGGCGCCCAAGCTGGCCGCAGGCCTTCCTGGGCCCAGAGCAGTGCCAGTCAGTGGGCTCGGCCGCCCCTGGCCAGCCTGGGAATCCCTTCCCCTCTCCAGACCCACGTGCCGCTGGCCCCTCGCCAGGGAAGCACCACGCAGCTGCTGCAGAGTATTGTCCACCGTGGCGCAGGGCGGCGGGCCAGGGTGGACCCGGAGGGGGGGCGGGGCGCTCCGACCAGTCCAGCTTGAAGGGTTCCCCGGTCATCACGCCAAAACTCTGTCGGCAGAGGGACAGGTCAGCTGCCTGGCCACCAGCCCCGGCGTCCAGCCCTCCCGCTCACCCCGTGGCCTGCGGCCCGGCCCGGCCTTGTCGGCCTCCTCCATTGTCTGCTCACTGGGGCTCCCCGCTCTGGTCAGCTGGCGCCTGCGGGGCGGGCCCTGGAGCACAGCCGCAGGACCTGCCCACTGCCCGCAGCGCCCACTTCGCCTGCCCCAGCCCACGAGCGGCCTCAGTGCGCCCTCCGGTTCCGGGCTTTCCCCCAGTCAGCCCCACCAAGCCAGGAAGCTGGCGCTGCTGAGGCGCCCGGGCCGCGGGGGGCTGGGCTGCCCCAGGCCCCTGCAGGCCCCCGCCCGGCCAGATGGCTCTCTGTCCCGTCCCTGCACGGAGGCCGCTCCCTCCGGCGGGGTCGATGCCGCCAGCTCGACCACCTCCACCTACCCGCGCCCTCCTCGCCTGCCCTCAGAGCCCGCCTCGCTCCTCGATCTGCTCCTCCGTCAGGCACTGGGCTCTGGGGCCGCCCCTGGGGGCAGGTGCCCGGGAGCTGCTGGCTGGGAGGAGGCTGCCGGCCCAGCGGGGCCCAGGGAAGGGTCGCGGGCGTGGGCCGCGGGCAGCAGGACTTCTGCAGGCTGGGGCGCGGCAGGCGAGGGGCAGTGGGGCTGCCGGCCGCTGGGCCCGGCCCGCGTCTCGTGGCGGGACAGCAGCCGCCAGGGAGGCTGTGGAAGGACGCTGCCGGCCAGCGCGGCGGGGCAGGCCAGAGCTGGGCTTCAGCCGAGCGAGACAGGCTTGGAGCACGGGCCCCGGGGGGTCAGCAGCGGGGCCAGTGGGGCTGGGCCTCAGCCCTCCACTCTGGCCCAGGCCGGCAGCCTGGGTGTCCCTCGTGGGTTCCCCGAAACCTGGCTCCTCGGCACAGCCCCGATCTCCTGACTGACGGGCCTGCTGCTCCCAGTTCCCGCCCCAGCCCACAGGAACCCCCGGGTCACGGGGCCCCCAGCCCACGGCCCCACCTGCGTCTGCCAGCTGGGCTGGCTGCAGCTCCGGGAGAGGGCAGCTGTGGCCGCCACCCTTGGGTTGGGCGGGTGGCCTGGGGCCCCAGGCCCCCAACCTCAATGCAGCCTGGGCACTCTCCTCTCACTGAGCCCCGCCCGCCTCAGGCCACAGCAGCTGGACACTGAGGGCCCTGAGCAGAGGGCAGGAGAGGACCGGCCTGTGGTGCGGGTTGGGGTCTTGCAGCTGCTAGGGCGCCCCGCCCTTCAGCTGTGGCCCCTAACTTGTGCAGACTCCCAGTGGCTGAGAGGCCGCCCTGCCCCCACAGGCATGCAGGGAGCAGGGCGTTTGCACCCCCGCCTGCCCCAGAGGAGGGCTGGAGCCAGCGTCCAGAAAGGAGACGCTGGCCGCACTGGGGCGCACAGGAAGCCGGGCCTCCTTTCTGCCCGGAACAGCAGATGGACAGATGGACAGACGCCTGCCTGTGCTGCTCAGCCCTGACTCTTGCCCTCCTGCAGGGCACGGCCCCCAGCCTCCCCCTCGCCGGGCACCATACCAGCTACTCTGCTCGGCCGGGCCTTGGTCACCGTGGGCACTGGCACGGCCTCAGCCTGGCTGGCCCCTCAGCACCGCCCTGGTCAGGAGCTGTGGCTTCCTGAGGAGCCTCGCCAGGGGTGGGGGCGCCCTCAGCCTCTGCCCAGGGCCAGTCGTGGTGACCCCCACCGGCTCGCCCACCGCGTGCACGGCCCCGTCAGGCACACCTGCCCGCTGCGACCCTGCCGGTCTCCGGGCGGTGTCCCACGTCACCCTGAGAGAGCCGGTGCCGGGGCCAGCTGCCCGCCGCGGCCGCGCCCACGGCTGAGACCCAGGATGCTGGCGGGAGCAGAGGCGCCGTGGCCTGCGGGCTAGGGGAGATGCACCCCACTTGGCCAGCAACCCCCCCTCTGCCCTCAAGCCCTCAGCCCCAGCTCCCGCTTAGCCGGCGAGGAGAGGCTCTCCCAGCCCCCCACAACCCCCAGGGCAGGACCGAGGGAGCAGCATGCCCATGAGCCCGGACACACGGCCCATGGCCTGGACACAGCAGGGACACACTGGACACACCCCTGTGTCCCTCAGGCTAGGCTGGGCCCGTGTGGCCCAACGCGACACCTTGCCTGTCTGTCTGTGTGGTCAGGTGCCAGGTCAGCCCCAGGGCGGGCGCTGACCACGCCACGCCACCGCCCCCTGTGTGCCCTCTGTGGGCCGTCGCGTGGGGCTGCCCTGGGTGTGTGGTGGTGGACGGTCAGCAGGTGTCCTGCACGGCGCTCTGAGCTGCCCTTTGAAACTGAAACATGGCCCGAGCCCCCAGTCCTGGCCTCGCCTGCTGCCCAGTGTGGTGGCCTGTGTGGCGCCACTGAGTGTGACGCCCCGGGGTGTGAGCCCCCAGGTGTGACAGCGCACCGGGGCTGAAGCGGGGGGGGGGGGGCAGTGTGGCCACTGGGCCTGGCCGGGCACCAGCACTGTGTCCTGGAGCCCGCACGTGGGGCCGCCCGCGGTCAGGCCGCCCGCCCGCTCATCTGTGAAGGAACCAGGCCTGTCTCTGCTGGACCGAGCGCGGCTCAGCCACCGCCTCTCCCTGCGGTCTGCGTCCTGGACAAGGTCCGCAGCGCCTGGTCAGCAGGTCGCAGGAGCCAGCCCTACAGGTGCCTTTCAGGTGAGCCAAGAGCAGAGGCGGCGTCGCCCCAGGGAGGGGGGGCATTGGGGGTGTGACGGGTGTGCGGGGCCCAGAGCTGCCTGAGGGTCAGACCCGCACGCCGCTCCTGGCTGGGTGATAGCCCCTGGTCATGGAGCGGGTGAGACTGGTCTGGTCAGCAGGCTCCTGTCCCCAGATGACACAAGGACCTTGCTTCCACCGGCTCCTCGCCGGCCGCGTGGTGCTTCTGGCAGAGGGGAGGCCAGGGCCTCGCAGCTGAGCGGGGTCCTGACAGCCACCGGCCCACGCCCCCCGCGTGTCAGTGTGTGGCCGGTGCCGCCCTTGGCAGCGTGGCCCCGTGTGAAGCAGGCGAGGCCCCTTGCGACAGGTGGTTCGGCAGGGGGCGCGCCCCAGGACCCCAAAGGTCAGGAAGGGGGCCCCCAGCCCGCCTGCCCGCCCGGCCCAGGCAGCTCCTCGCGTGGGGTCACCGGCCTCCCCTCCGGCTGATTAACTCGGCTGCCCCGGGCAGGAAGGCTGTGGGTGCCAGGCTGCGGCTCCGTGGCAGTGGTGAGGCTGCCAGCCCGCCCCAGGGTCCCTGCCAGGAGGCCAGGAGCCGCAAGGCCTGCGGGGGTCCTGAGAGGCGCAGCGCGACCCTCGCCCTCCGGGGACAGGGCCCCTCTCCTCCACGCACAGCCACGGAGCCTGAGGGCGCAGCCTGGCGCACCCCACCGCCACGGGGCCAGGCGCCTGGGGCCTTCGTCCCTGGGCCTGCCTGAGGCCCACATCACCGCAGTGACCTGGGCGGCTGAGCGAGGCCAGGCGGCCCAGAGCCGCCCCGTGGGCGGCCACCACGGCCAGCGGCGGGCAGGCCGTCAGGGCCGCGTGTGGTGTGAACCCCAGGACCCGTGTTATTCACAGACGCGCTCAGAGGCCCAGACTTGTCCAGGAGGGGTTCACACGGGGCGGGGTCACCGAGTTGTCGGCTTCGGCAGTGCGATGGCTCAGTTCGCTGAATACCGAACGGCAGGCAAAGCTCCGCTGTGGGGCCGTATTCTCCCGGCTTCTGCCGAACGCGAGTGGGCAGCAGCAGCGAAAGCAA